AACCCTGAGAGCTAGACTGATGCTTTGAATCTAAACGTTATACATTAAAAAACAAACAAACCCAAGAGGACAGCAGCATCAGCAGTTTTTGAATCTCTCCAAGTCGATGTGTAGAACCAGACACAGCAATTAGATAACCACTAGATAAAACATCCAAACCCTAAGCACAACATGCACGCCAATCTATGTGACAAGGTACCTTTACTAAACCAGAACACAAAGATGCAAAGGAAAACTGCCAACAGCCACACAACCTGCATGGTCGTCATGGCTGGACAGGAGAAAACAGAAGAAAGCAACAAGTCATCAGAGCCGTGATGAGGAAAATCCCAAAGCAGCCAGCCGGTATCACCGGAAAGCAGAGAATTACAGTGTGAGGAAGCAATGAAAACGGGAATGGAGTCTGCCCAGTGTGGCGTAAGTGCACGTTAGGGACCCGTGATGAGAAAGTACAAAGGCCATTGAACAGTCTTGGCCCGAGAATTCCTGACACTGACCTGCTAGGGTCCCTTCCAGAACAGAGTCCCTCACCAAGGATAAAGCTTCAAGAATAAAATCAAACACTAGAAAAAAGGGACAAGAGAGAAAAGGAGGAGAAGGAGTGGAAGGGAAGAGATGCAGGAAATTCTGAGCAAACAGGAGATCATGTTTTTGAGGCCCATGTGAGCACAACTGAAGATAAAGAGTTCTTCAAGCGACAGAAGCTACCCTGAATCACGCCTTCTTCTAAAGGGTAAGTGATGTTCAAAACGCCATGTCAAAATGAGGTCAAGGGCATTAAGAAAATGACTCATGAGAGAATAAAATAAAACAGGATCAGCAAACTCAGATGAGGTAGATAAATCAAGAAATAATTAAATCAAAAGAAAAGGCCATTTCAGAAATGAATACAAGAATATCTAACAGACAAAGAAGATGTAAAGGAAGAAAAGATTTTAATTTTTAAAAAAAGATAGAAATGATTCAAAAGAAGTGATAAACACTGAAATTGAATCCTACAAACAGATATATTAAGAGTTCCTAAGGAAGAAAACAAAGAATGTTTAAGAATGTTTAAATCCATAGGTCCATGACTTTTTTTTAAAAAAATCTGGTGATTATAAAAATCTACATTTCTGCTAAAATGATACAGAACTAAATACACACATACCAATGAGTATATATAAAACTGGTAAAACCAGATGAAGGTAAGTGGGTTGTGTCAATTGTCAACTTCCTGTTTGTGAAATTGTTCTATGGTTATTCAGATGCTAGCACTGGAGGAATCCAAAGGAAGGGTGCATGAGATATCTGTATTATTTCTTACAACCGCATGTAAATTTAAAATATTCTTTAAATGTTTAATTAAAAAAAAAAGAAATCTAATTGGTTATTTCTAGAGAGTAATAGGGGATCGCTTCTTTATTTTAAAACTTAGTAAAGAATCAAGCATTTACTCTATCTTTCTTGTATGAACAGTATCAACAATTAAGAAAATAGCAGATGAGGGAACCACCTCTTTATAAAATCTCAATTAATTTAAAAAAAAACTATTATATTCTCAACGTCTTCCAACTCCCAATGAACTCATGGATCTTGACACTGAGCAATAACAGCAGGTAACATTACAAAAAGAGAGAAAGATATTATGTGCCTGGTAGTGTAAGAATGTGTCACTATCTGAGGTCTTGCAATGGGATCGAAACGTGAATCTGATCAGGTCTATGGATCCAGACACCACTGGCAGGAAATGCACAGGACAGAAAGAAGAGCTGAGGTGCAACATGAGAGGGCAATCCAGAAAAAAAACCTGGATTCTTTCACAGATAAATTGTTGGGGGGTGCGGGGGCAGGGGGTGCGGCAGACAAGGGCCAGGGGCTGGGGAGGAGCAGGATAATGGAAGGGAAATCCACAGATTATAACAGTCTTAACTTAGTCAAAAAAAAATCTTAAAAGACACAAATTTGCTTTAAATGGGCAGGACTAAACATTGGCAGTCTTGGGGATACACGCCTGCTGATATTACTATAAAGAGATGCAGAGAAGAATCTACGTTAAAAAGCAAGACAGGGACTTCCCTGGTGGTGCAGTGGTCGATACTCCATGCTTCCAATGCAGGGGGCACAGGTTTGATCCCGGTCATGGAACTAAGATCCCACCTGCTGCATGGTGCAGCCAAACAACAAAAAAACCTATTTAAAAAAAGCAAGATAGTGGCTACTTCAGGGACAGAGCGGGTGGTGATCAGGATGTGGCACATGGTTGGGGTCGCTAGGGCAGGTGGCAAAATTCTAATTCCTGACTTAAGGTTACAATGATGTTTGCTTTAGAGTAACACAGTAAAATGATACAGTTGATTTGTGTGATCTGTATTCGATTTTTCTTTTACAATGGAAAGGCTTTTTCTGAAAAGTTATACCCCTAGTGTTTCCTGTCATGAGAGAACATTTATGACATTTGAAATAATTAATTTAATTACATTTATTTTAAAGAATTACATGAAACATAATCACATGACTGTAAATATCTAAAACAACTGCATGAAAGTTAATAATCTTATAAAATAATTACATTTAAAATATACATAAGAGTAAATCACTTTAATAAATCCCGGCCAGCCAGTGAAACCTGGGGAAGGTTTTGAGGCCTATTTTTTATATTAAAAAGGGGATTAGCAAGTACTACTGAGCTTTAGGGGCTTCCTTGGTAGCTCAACTGGTAACGAATCTGCCTGAAATGTGGGAGACCTGAGTTCGATTCCTGGATTGGAAAGATTCCCTGGAGAACGGAACTAAGAATCCACTCCAGGATTCTGGCCTGGAGAATTCCATGGACTGTATAGTCCATGGGTTTGCAAAGAGTCAGACACGACTGAGCAACTTTCACTTTCACTGAGTTTTAGTGACAAGCAAACACTCAGATGAGACTTTCTTCTCAACTTAATCAGGTCTTACAAGAGCCCTGAGCCTGAGACTGTGTGATCTTATGTTTGGCCACGTACCACCTTGATTCACCTGCTTCACGTAAAGTCACCTTGTGGCCCATCTCCTCTCCTACACTCGTGGAAAAACCAGCTTAAAAATAGGTCTAGTGCATGAGGGTATGCCAAGACCTAAGAGGAGGCTGAAAAAACAAAAACTTAGCTTCCTCAAATCACCAACAGGTTCATTTCACTCATTCCAGCCCCTTCTAACCATGATTAAAAAGGTTTGCTTTTCCATTATGAGCACTTAAGTGAGTGACCAACACTATGACCGGGTAACAGCTGCTTATCCTCGTCCTAGTTACCAGTACACACACTTCACTGTGGATTTAACAGGGCGCCGGCAGAACCTAGTAATGATCAGTCTTTATGCCTAAAGTGCTCAGAGCTTCTCAAATGACAAGAGGCCTTGTATCTGAAAGCGCAAAACACAAAAGTGCGTGCCCTCCCCCATCTGCACTCCCTATCGCAAAACAAGACCTGACAGCCTGAGCCGTTCGCTCATCAACACTAAGCTTGTGTGACCCCAAACCCCTTTAAAAAGGGGGGGCAGGGTATATCAGATAACATAACAGACTTGTAATGTAAACTTGTAAAGAAAACTTTGAGATTCAGATGGAACTCAGTCATGTTTTTTAAAACACTGGGACTTCCCTGCTAGTCCACTGCTTAAGACTTGGCATCCCTGATTGGGGAACTAAGATCCCAAATGCTGCAAGGCAGCAGGACAAAAAATAAAATAAAAAATAAAGTAATATGAAATATATACATAAAGGAGGCCTGATTCTCCTATAAAACGGCTTGAGAGCAAGTCTGGTTTTACCTCATCTTTCCCCCTCACTCCCCCAGGTTTTCTACATGAGTGTACAGAAAGCCAACTCAAGCCAGGATGGTTAGCTCACAAGAGAATGGTGATGCCAACACATAAAGACGAGATTCAGGCAGGAGTTGAAAGGGAACCTGTGTAAGAAAGGAAGATTAGTGCTGAATTCCTGTCTTCCAGGTCGAGGTCTTATCCAGTCTCTCTGGGGTCAGCTGACCCTGTTTCCTTTCCTCTCTCACCACCTCCTTCTTCTGCATCCTCAGCCCTGTTTTGTAAACCCTCAGCTTTCCAGCTTACCTACCCTTCTTCCCTTGTATATTTTTTGCCTTCTCATTAGACAGATAAGTAAATATATACTCAAATATACACAGATGGTAAAGAATCTGCCTGCAAAGCAGGAGACCTGGGTTCACCCCTTGGCTTGGGAAGATCGCCTGAAGGAGGGCATGGTAACCTCCTCGAATATTCTTGCCTGGAGAATCCCATGGACAGAGGAGCCTGATGGGCTACAGTGCATGGGGTCGCAAAGAGTCAGACACGACTGAGTGACTAACACTTTCACTTTTCACTTTCACTTAAAATATACACAAACCTACTAAAATGTCTGCAACGGAAACCCTGAGCTCCCCTCACCACACAGGTGCTTCCAGAGGCCACTGCTTCCAAGACTCCCCGGAATCCCCTCTAAAAGAGGGTTCAGCCTGGATGGTAAGGACCAGGTTCTGGCCTCAATTTCCTGTGATCATCCAGAGCAAAGGGCCCCTTTCATAAATGTTACTCTGATCACATGAATTCACAAATCCTTTAAAGGACGCTCTCTCTCCATACCAACACCTGATGAGACCAAGACTTTAAGAATAGAAATAAATTGAAGGAAAAAAAAAAAAAACACATTTAACCCTCCATTCTAGAATGGAGGGTTATAAGTAAAAGAAACCCAGAAGTGTTTAAAGCCCAGGTAAGCTTCACTTATACTCAGGTTCACAAGATAGTAGCTCAAGTCAGATTCAACACTTTAGACATTATCCCAGGTTTGTGTTATTTTCTTCAAGACATGGTGTCCTGGTCCAGAGGCCTGTCCTAGGGGAAAATCTATAGCAGGAAAATGGTGAGGTATCTGGGGGAAGGGGAAGGGCTTGTAGTTTGGATTTTTCACCCAAGCCGTTTCTAATGAGCAGTAGAGAAATATGAGAGCCTGTTAAAACATTACTTACTGCCTGCTGGATGTCAGACTTCACCTGCTCACTCAACATGCCTTCAAACACAAAGGAGTCACCAAACTTCTCAGCCTGAAGGAAAGAAGGGAAATAAAAATCCAGAAAAGTTTGCAGTAACACATTTCACAAGCGCCATTTTCTGTGTACGCTACTTGAGTGGTTCTTCTTGTCCAAATGAACTTAATTTTATCATGTGATCTCCCAAAGGATTCAGAAATGACATTAAAGCATCTGGCTTCCTATTAAAACAGGTTAGTGTCACTTACAGAGTCCATTTTCATTTTAGGCTCATGTAGCTGATAAGGATGCAGACTGGAACAGATTAGCTTTTGAGCCTGTGATTGTTTCTGTTGATGGAAACACATCTCCCCAAGTATTATAAATGACTTTGGAAAATAACAGGATTCTTTATGTATCAGATCACATATCAACCTTTTCCTTTCTTCTACTCCTGGAATCTAGCTAAAAGAAGCAAATGGCACTGTTTGCTGATATTCTGACACATTCTAGCTCTACTAAGAATTCTAGCTCCATTCTAGCACCACTAAGGCGTCCACTGTGCTGATAAATCTCAAGTGGCCAACTTGAACACCGGGCGAAATCTGTATTTTAATCATTTTTATTTAATGTTACTGTCTCAAGTCTGTATGTACTTGGTTTTCTTTGCTGCATGTGGCCCCAATCAGCAAATATGCAAAGTAGCCTCTTGGTTTCCATGATTCTACTTTTCCGGTTTTCTTCCTCCTACGGATTCTTCCTACTCATCTCCTGAAATACCTGGCTCTCCTTCCAGCCCCTAAAACACTGTTGCTCCCTGGTGTTCTACCCTGCTTCTCTGATCTTCTTACTCTATTCCAGTGGCTCTTGGGCCCTGTGCAGTTGAGATCAGCCGGCAAACTTGTTGCCTCTACACATTACTGCTCCCCAAGCCCAGAGCTTCTGATTCTGGAGGTCTGGGGTGAGGCAAAGGAACCTGCATGTAAGAACAGCTACGCTGGTGATTCTAATATAGGTGGTCTAAGAGATCCCACTTGAGAGGCACGGACCTGCTGCTGGACAAACTCTGGCGATTTCATCATTTTAACCACTGCCAGCACTTCAAATGCTGCTCAGATCTCTACTTGCATACATATCCTCTCCTCACTAGATGAGAGTAACTGCCTACTACACTACATCCCTGGATTTCAGGCCTTATGAGTGCCTCAAATTCTTCTTCCTGATTCGAGCTCATCAACTTTTATGCATCCCAGTTCTTCTTCCTGTATTTCCTTGTGGCATCACCATGTCTAAAAACCCGGACCATACCCTCACTCAACAACACTGATCAAAGACCTACCAGATGCCTGCCTTTGGGCTACATGACAGAGATACAAGGTCAATATTACATGGGCATGGACTCTGATCTTAGAGCACTTATATATGGAGCACTTTTAACAAAAGTCAAGTTGAAAAAAGAAAGGAAGAAAATAAGTACAACTTTATTTGATGTTGTAAAGTGGAGAGTCTTGAGAAAAGTCTCCTTTTGAGAGTGGGCAGAGGAAGCCTCCCTGAGGAAAATGAGATGACTCGAGAAGGAGAAGGAGACAGCCGTAAAAAAGGGGGAAAGGCAGGAAATTCCATGCAGGGGAAAGCATGGGCTGTGCCCCAAAGATGGGAAAGTGTCCAGTTTGCAAGGAACAGAAACAAGAACAGCAGGATCAGAATGTGATGAGCAATGGAAATGTGATACAAAATGAAGCTGGAGAAATGGAAAAAAACAAAAACAAAAACAAACAACTGTAAAGTGCCATAAAAATATGGAGTATTTTATCCAAAGCGGGGCTTTAACCCTTTTCGTTCCCTAGGCCCTTTTGGCAGTCAGGCAAAGCTTAAGAACCTCCTTCTCAGAATAAAATGTTTAAGTGTATAAAACAAAATCAACACAATTACAAAGAAAGTGAGTTATATCAAAATATTCACAAAACAAATGTGAGCTATAGTAATATATACAGGTGTGTGTCTATAGGTACATATCTGTCTTTTTTTATTTTTTAATATATTAAATAAGATCTAGTGGCAGGTCTCATAATTATCATTTCTAAGGTAGAAATGAATACAAGTAATTTTAAGATTAAGATCTCTACGATAAGAATAATGTGACACAAAGTGTCTGTGATTTCTGCTGAGGACAAAGTCACAGGCATTGGTGCCATTTCTATACCACATTGTCTACTTCCTAACTAAAGGACATGCTCAATTTCAGTTAAAGAAATCCAGATGTAGTATTCCGTCATCCATGCTCCTCGATGCCCTAAATTCTACTCATTCTGTCTAATCTCGATGGAGAACCCTAGTCTACGGGAAACTTCCTGCTGTAGAAGCCATCTTCTAACTTCAGCAGACTACTGAGGAACTTGATCTGAGAGTATTCTCATGAAACAAAAAGAACAGAAACTTCTCACTAGGAATGGGGACAAAGAGGCAATCACTCTGTATATTTTAGGAAATGCCAAAGAAATGCAAAACCAAATTTGGAAGTTGTCTTGCTTTCAGTATTCACTCTGAATTTTTTTTTTTTTTTTTTGTAATAAAAAAGATGTTCTACCCTGAAACAAAAGCAAAAACAAGGCAGGGACTCCACACACTGAAGGCAAGGGGAGACTCTTTTGGTAAGAAAAATGGGAAACCTACATATGTATGACAAGGATATCTGAGACACTCAGAAGCTTCCATCATCTAGAAAGCCTCCTTCTTCCTAGGACCACTGAGGACAAACATCCACTTTCAGAACATCGCTCTGTGATTCAGCAACCACAGCAAATGCTGGAATTGCCAAAGGAAACCTTGTGTGTCATCAGGCACTGGAATAAAACCACAAAAATGAAAAGTTGCACTTCTTCATCTATCACTTATGAATTATGCCATGCTTCCGAAACAGATGAACTATAATTTTTTGAGAGGGAAGGGTGGCCTTACTTCACATGCTGTTATCTCAAAAAGCCCGAGTGGACAGTGGCACTCTTTGGCATGTTACAGCACTGACGCACTCGAGCGTCAAGGTTAAAAAGACAGGTGCTGGGGTCCCACCGGCAAGGCATGAACCCCAGCCTCACCACTAACCAGCTATGGGACTCAGGGCAAGCTGCTTTGATAATCCCCAGTTTACCACCTGAAAAGTAACCTGCCTTGCTGGGTTTCTATGAAAACAAAAATTAGATGAAACATATATAAAGTGCTCAGCACTGGGAACACAGTAAAAAGTGGTCAACTGATGAAGTCCTTCCTCCCCATTCCAATCCCGTTACCTCTGTCAAATAGCCAGTTGAGTTCACAAACTTCTCAAATTCAGCATTACTGACTTCATAGGCATCCATGTAAAAGGCATCAATAGCAACTCTCCTCGCAGGTGCTTCCCCATCCTGCTTTATCTGAGGATCATCTGTGCCCATTGTAAACACTCCGGCAGGGATGGGGACCATCTGCAGCGAAAGGGGAAACATGGGAAGTCAGGCCACTGAAGCCAGAGGGAACCTGGGTCACGCACGTGTAAAGTGCCCGCACCCAGTGAGCGAACCCCCGCCACAGGGCCACTGAGAAATGAATAAGATGACTCCATACCCCAGCGGACGGCTAGTCACAGAAAGAAGTGAAGATTCTTTAGGACAGTAATTTATTTAGGGAAAACTCTTCACAATATATATCTGCACACACACACACAAATAAATAAATGAAACATAAAAAGGGCTTCCCTGGTGGTCCAGTGGCTAAGATTCTGTGCTCCCAATGCAGGGAGGGGCAGGGTTCAATACCTGGTCAGGGAACTAGATCCCACATACTGCAACTAGGAAGTGGTGCAGCCAAATAAATAAAAATTTAAAAAAAAAAAAGGAAAATATATCTGTACACACCATGGAAGCAGGTTTAAGAGCAAAAGTCACCAAGCTCCTAATGACTGGAGGTCAGAGGCACAGAGAATATTCCCCTTCTTTATACATCCAAAGGAAATGGCAGCCCACTCCAGTACTCTCGCCTGGAAAATCCCAAGGATGGAGAAGACTGGTAGGCTACAATCCATGGGGTTGCAAAGAGTCAAACACAGCTGAGCGACTTCACTTCACTTTACTTCACTTCACTTCATACACCTCTGCATTTTCCTCCTTTACTATATTCTTATTCCTTTTAAACTATTTTAAAAAGCAAATATAAAAATGCCACATATAATATCTTTTAAAACCAACTCAGTCAGTCGAGGTTGCCAATGATAATGGAAAAGACCTAAATCACTCAAATGGAAAATCTAAAACATTTACTAAAGGACCATGTCTTGTCCTTTTTTAATAGCTTATCAAAACTCTAACTTCAGTTACTTTGTTTCTATCTATAAGACAGCATATTAAAAAGCAGAGACATTACTTTGCTGACAAAGATCCACATAGTTAAAGCTATGGTTTTTCCAGTAGTCATGTATGGATGTGAGAGTTGGACCATAAAGAAGGCTGAGCACTGAAGAAATGACGCTTTTGAATTGGGGTGTTGGAGAAGACTCTTGAGAGTCCCTTGGACTGCAAGGAGATCAAACCAGTCAATCCTAAAGGATATCAGTCCTGAATATTCATTGGAAGAATTGATGCTGAAGCTGAAGCTCCAATACTTTGGCCACCTGATGCAAAGAGCTGGCTCACTGGAAAAGAACCTGATGCTGGGAAAGACTGAAGGCAGGAGGAGAAGGGGGGAACAGAGGATGACATAGTTGGATGCCATCACTGACTCAATGGACATGAGTTTGAGCAAACTCCGGGAGATAGTGAAGGACAGAGAAGCCTGGCGTGCTATAGTCCATGGGGTCTCAAAGAGTCAGACATGACTTAGTGACTGAATAACTCTTTTACATAAATTCTAAACACCGAGAGGGCAGCAACTGAGGCTACCTTGTTCACATGTTGCCCTAGCACTAAACTTAAGATCTGAGGCTCACACCTAAAATTGTCAGTTCATAAACACAGGTCAGCATCATTGGGGAAATGCAGACCAAATCTACAATGAGATTCCACTTCATACCCACCAGCACAGCTGTAACCAGAAACATGGATAAGAACAAGTGTTGACAAGGATGCAGGAAAATTGCAATCCTCCAGTTGCTGGCAGAAATGTAAAGTAACACTGCTGCTTTAGAAAACAATGTCAGTTCTTCAAAAAGCTACATAAAAAGTTAACACATGATCATGAAATTCCACTTCTAGGATTATACCCAAGATAAAAGAATACATATATCCATGGAAAAACCTGTACAATAATGTGCATAGCAGCATTATTCATAATACCCCAAAAGCGGAAACAACCCAAATATTCATTTGTCCACTGATGAACAGATAACATGTCACATCCACAAAATAGAAATCAGCCATAAAAAGAAACGAAGTACCACACAGGTGAACCTTGAGAACATGATGCTAAATGAAAGAATCCACTCACAAAAGGCTGTATATAGTAGATTCCATTTATACAAAATGCCCAGAGCTGAAGCCAAAGAGACAGGAAGTAGATTAGTGATTGCCAGAGGCTGCAGGGAGGTGGGCAGAGGGAATAAGTGCTAATGAGTATGGGGTTTCTTTTCAGGGTGATGAAATGTCCTAGAATTAGTGATGATACTTTTTGAAACTTTGTGTCTACACTAAAACAAACACTGAATTGTAAACTTTCAAAGAGAGTTTTATGACATGTCATTTGTATCTCAATTTCTAAACAGCAACACAATCATACATATCAGAAGTACACTGTGCAGACACAGTATCTTACATGCTAATCATTTGAGTGAAAAAGCAATTCACTCACTTCTCAGCAGATTAGGACTTGTCAGATCTCTGATCTAGAAAACAAAAATTCAACTTGAGGAAAAGAAAAAAAGAAACTAAAGAGTAATTAGCTAGTAGGAATAAAAACAGAAAATGTGGCTTAGCAATAAGAGCAGAAGAGTTCGAAAAACAAGATCAGAAGTAACAGAAAGTAATGATCAGTAATCATGGTTTCCTACTCTCTATTTCCACTCTCTTTACTAGTGGTTGCTTTCAATTTTGTGCATGTATTTCCCAATGAAAATGGAGCTCCTTTCATCTATGACATAAGTAATAAATGTTTAAATGTCCAATGTATTATTATTAAGAAGTCATCCCTGACCTCGCCCATCCACTAATCCCAACAGTAAAGCAATCAGTCAGTTTTACTGGGTCTCCTAAATATATATCCCTTTCATCTCTCCCCTTTTCTGTTTCTCAATAAATGCAGTAGCCTCACAATTGGCTCCTTTGCCTCCAGCTTCACACTTTCACATTTCTCCTAGCTCCTCTCTAAGCCATCAACCCTCCACTCAAACCATTCATACAACAAATATCCAAGCCCCTACTGAACCTTCCAAAATATCTGTCTTCTGGATCCAACACAATTTATTGAAGCTCTACTTGGAACAGAAAAAGGTTGGAAACAACCTAAATATTCTTCAGTATTGGAATGATTAACTAAGTTGTGGGCCACCCATAAAATGGAAAATTAAGCAGCCACAAGAAAAGAAAAAGAAGGAAAATTGAGGGAGAAAGAAGACAGTTTTAATATATAGATATGGAGAGATCTCACCAGGATAAAGGGATAAGGAATGGAGAGGACAATGGCCAATTCATGTTGATGTATGTCAAAAACCATCACAATATTGCAAAGTAATTATCCTCCAATTAAAATAAATATTTTTTTAAAAAAAAGAAAGCATGGTATGTTATCATTTGTATGAAAAGGAGGTGAGGGGAGAATATAGATTCACACTTTCTTTTTGTATTTGCTTACATTTGCAGAATACTGCTCTGAGAAGATATTCAAGAAACTCATGCAGTGCTTGTCGGAGGGCAAGGTTATTATGTAAGTGGAAAAATTTTCACCATACACCCTTCTAGACAATTATTTTTCAGTTTTAAAATCATGCAATGTACTCTCTATTCAAAAAAAACGTATAGTGTCAATTTGATTATGCCATTTTCCTACTTAAATTCTTTAGGGTTCTCCATCACCTTTCAGAGTTAAATAAAATATCGAAGCATCAGAGCCCATCTCTCTCACCCTGGACTCTATTTGCACTTCATCTCTCTGTAAATGACATCCATATTCAAGGATCATCTCCTACAGAAAGCCTTTCCTGCCTGCATTTCTGTCTGCTGGCTCGGCATACACTCCTCATTAGGGGTCCTTTGTTAAATACCATTCTATCCCAACACCTGCCCTTGATCCCAGGCTCCTTGGGGAACAGAAATAAAGTTTTGATTTCTCTATCCCCAGCTCCTAGTATGGTGTATAATTCAAGGAAGGATGGAAGGGAGGAAGGAAGAGGGGGAGAAAGAAACTTCATTGACTGAACAGATGATTTCACAAATACAATGAAAAATGTATCATTTGAATTATTCCTAATTATAAAAATTCTCCTTCTTCTATAACACCATCCCAGACATGGATAGCGTGTCTGCATCACAGTGAAACCTGCTGAATAGACTCTGCTCAGAGACTGAGCTAGGTTCACACATTATTCTCATCATTTGTCAAACGTCTGGGACACAAGATCCCTTAGTCCTGAGATGAGAAGTCAGAATGTTAAGCAGCTCTGCAAAGAAGTAGAAAAATAGAAGCCTGTAGATGAAAGCTTAAAATGATTATTAAAATGATCTAATAGAAGGTTTCATGTCTGATAAAGGACTTAAAGGAAAAAAATAAAAGCTTTCCAGCAGCAGACAAGGAGGTCCTTTTCTAAGAACAGTTGTTCATACCTTCCTACAAACACAAGGTCCACAGGAAGCTGTGGGCTTCGTTGTAGCGAATGAAGTTTTATGATTATCTCAGTTTCTCATCCCACTCTCCCTCCAGGTGAGTACCAACAACGTGAACACAATCACGACTTCCACTGTGGACTCCTGGACTGGTTCCCCCCAACCCCCTTTTTCATTGACTGTCAGAGATAACCCACACCGAAGAAGCCAAGTTTCCACTCTGGAGGCGATAGACAAAAATAGCCCACAAAGCTCTCACTGTATTGTAATTCCCAAATTACACTAGTGAAGTGAAATCTCAGTCCTGCAAATGTAAGGTGCTGTTTCATTGAAACCCGGAGCATTAGGTCTCACAGTTGTAAGCCAAATACAAAGAACCACTTTCACCACGTTTTCATAAAGGTCCAGGTTCAAACAGGCCATTCCTCCTCGGCAGTAAGCTCAAACCCCGCTGCCGCCGCAGTTTCTGCTACTGCCAAGCCAAAAGCACACGTGAAGTCAAAGTGACCCTCTTACCAACAGGACTGTATTCGGCTACACACTCTGGCCAGGTGCAGTGAACATCTATTATTTTTGCTCACTTGGCACCTGTTCCTTCCTGTTCTTCTAAGAGCAAGTGACATCTCTCTGAAAACCACTTCTTCAGCTGAGAGTATGACGCGGGGTGGGCGGGGGAGCTG